CGGCAGCCCCGGGGAGGGCCCGGTGTGGAGCCGGCAGCCCCGGGGCGGGGCCCGGTGTGGAGCCCGTCCGCCCGCAAGCGCCCTCAGTGCCCGCTCTGCCGTCCTTCAGTGTCGCACCGCTGGCGCTCAGCGCCCGGCCTGCACCACGAGGGCTGTTACCACGTGGCGGTCTTCGCCACCAAGAACCCCGAGAAGCCACTGCTGTGGTCCACGGTCCTGTCCGGTTACTACTTCGGGGGTAACAGTGAGTACCGACCCCGGGGTTGTGTTCTGACGGCCGGGGACTGTCAGTCACCGACACAGGGGCGGGGCCGGGGCTGTGGGCGGAGCCGGGGCTGTGTGCGGGGCCGCGGCTGTGGGATACCAGGGCTGTGGGCGGGGCCGGGGCTGTGGGAGGACCAGGGCTGTGGGCGGAGCCGGGGCTGTGGGTGGAGCCGGGGCTGTGGGCGGGGCCGGGGCTGTGGGAGGACCAGGACTGTGGGCGGGGCTGTGGGAGGACCAGGGCTGTAGGCGGGGCCGGGGCTGTGGGCGGGGCCGGGGCCGTGGGCGGACCAGGGTTGTGGGCGGGGCCGGGGCATACAAGGTCTGTGGGCGGGGCTGTGGGCACAATCTGGGCTGTGGGAGGACCAGGGCTGTGGGCGGAGCCGGAGCTGCGGGCGGGGCCGGGTTGTGAGAGGACTAGAGCTGTGGGCGGAGCCAGGGCTGTGGGCGGAGCCGGAGCCGTGGGCGGAACCGAGACTGTGGGCGGAGCCAGGACTGTCGGTGGAGCCGGGCTGTGGGAGGACTAGAGCTGTGGGCGGAGCCAGGACTGTGGGTAACCGAGGCTGTGGGTGGAGCGAGCTGTGGGCGGAGCCAGAACTATGGGTGGAGCTGGAGCTGTGGGCGGGGCCAGTGCGGTGAGTGGGGGCTAAGCGGTGGTCATCGTGGTGGGCGTGTCTGCGTGTGGTCGCGGTGGGCGGGGCCTTCCCACCTGCAGCCCCACAGCTGACCGGTTTTGCGCAGCTTCCGTGGCCGGGACCCCGCGCCAAGTGTCGGTGAGGAAGCACAGCGGGGACTCGGTGTCCGTGGAGTGGACGCCGTCCCCGCTGGGCGGCTGCCCGGGGGTCCTGACTCGATACGTCGTGCGCTGCGAGGCTGAGGATGGCGAGTGGGCGTCAGGTGCGCCGGGGCCCTGGGCGGGACGGACTGCGCGGGCAGCGAGGGCCGTCCATCCACCCGCTCCGGCCTTCCGCGCGTTAATTCCGCGCTGATTGGCTGTGATAGCGGACTCCCCCCCCGCCACCCGGCTGAGTCCCGCTCTGCAGTCCAGGCTGTCCTCAGATCGGGAGCAATCCCCTGCCTCAGCTCCCCCGGACCTGCACAGAGCCTGCAGCCTGTGCCTGACTCTGTCACCTCTCAAAGCCCCGTCTGCGGGCGGATCCTTACACCGGGTCCGCGCCCGGGGACCCTCGGGGCGAGCGCGGGCCCCAGCGCTCGGGGGCGTCAGGCTCGCCCACGGGCCCCGGGATGACCCCGACCCTCGTCCCTCCCCCCCGCAGAGTGGCTCGTGCCGCCCACGGAGACGCGAGTGACGCTGCGGGGACTGCGCGCCGGCGCGGCGTACAGGGTCCGGGTGCGGGCGGACACCGCGCGGCTCCCCGGCGCCTGGAGCCCCGCGCAGCGCTTCCCGCTCGGTGAGTGCCCCGGGGAGGGGCTCCGGCCCACCGCCCGGCCTGGAATATTCGATCCCCCACTTGTCAAACTCCTATCCATGCTTCAAAACCAGGCTGTGAGTTCCCCTCCCCAGGCGCTGCCCCACCGACCCCAGTGGCAGGGAAGCCGCCCTCTGCCCCCTGACTCGCGGGCTGCTGGGCGTGGGTCAGACTGCCGTCCCCCGTGGGCGGCCCGGGGGTGGGGAGGGACGCCGGGCCGCTCACCCCGACTTCTCCGGCCCCAGAGGTGCGGATTTCCCGGTTAGCCATCATTTTTGCGTCCCTGGGGAGCTTCGCCAGTGTCCTCCTCCTGGGCAGCCTCGGGTACGTCGGCTTGAGCAGGTAACCCTCCCCTCTCCCCCGACGTGAGCGGGGAGCCGGGGCGGGGCCGGGGGCCGGGGACGGGCTGGAAGGGGAGGAGGACCGCAGGCCTGGTCTGCCGCGCTTTGTTCCAGGGCCGCCTGGCGCCTGTGCCCACCCCTGCCCACCCCCTGTGCCAGCACGGCTGTGGAGTTCCCGGGCAGCCAGGGCAAGCAGGTAAAGGTTCTTCCCGGCTCCGACTGGTTCGGTGCGGACTGCGGCAGTGGTGCGGTCCAGCACGGCCCCGCCCACACGCCCCGCTTCACTGTCCTGACCCCGCCCACAGCCCTTCACTCTGCCCTGGCCCCGCCCACAGTCCAGCTTCACTCTGTCCTGGCCCCGCCCACAGCCCTTCATCCTGGCCCGGCCCCGCCCACACCCGGCTTCCCCGCCCCGGCCCCGCCCACAGCCTGGCTGTGCCTCTTTCCAGGCCTGGCAGTGGCGCAGCCCCGCGGACTTCCCGGAAGTGGTGTGCCCGCGAGGGACGCTAGTGGTGGAGGCGGCCCGGGACGCGGACGACGCCCCCGCCGTCCCGGAGCCCGCG